GAGTGAGGCCCTGTATCTGAAACAAAAAGGAAACCAAAAAAGATATGTTTACACTATACTGTAGTCTCTTAAGTGTGTAATGACGTTATGTCTAAAAAAAAAAAGTACATACCTTAATTAAAAAATACTTCATTGCTAAAAAATGCTGATGATCTGACACTTCAGTGAATCATAATCTTTTTGCTGATGGAGAGTCCTGGTTACCCCATATGGGGCTCTTTCCTGTTCAGTGTCATGAAACCAGCACACCAAACTGAAACTGAGTGTCAGGCAGTGCAGGCTTTATTCAGTGGTCTTGGAATTGGAGAAGTGGGAACTTAGCTTAACTTCTCAGCTCCTGAGAAACCTGGAAGTTACAGATATAGGGCATCTTTAATGAAGGGTTTGGGCATTAAGAGCCAGGAGAGGAATATGTTTTTCTTGGAAAGGGATGGAGATTTTCCTGGAATCAAGGAGCCACCTCTTTCCTATGCTTTTCTGGTCTCTTCTGGTCATTGTCACCGTGATTGTCAACTGTCATGGTGCTGATGGGAGTGTCACTTAGCATGGAAATTGGATTATAATGAAGCTAGAGGTTCTTCAGAGGTCGAGTAAGCTGCCATTGTGGATTTCATCAGCTTTAGCTGGTTTAGACCTAAGAAGAAACTTCTGACCACTGACATCCTGTTTCCTAAAAATAAATGGAGTTAAAGCTGACTAGGAATTTACCCATATCACATAGGCATTGCATTGGCCAACAAAAATGGGGTAGGGATCCAGCTAAGTCATTTAAGCACTGCAATGGGTATTATTAGGGCCTTGCTCTGGATTAGGCTTTGGCTTAAGGGAATGTTGTGTTTAGTTTAATCTTCTGTCTAAACCACTAAAATTTTCTCCATATCGGCAATAAGCCTTTCACTTTCTTCTCATTCATGTGTTCACTGGAGTAGCACTTTTAATTTTTTCAAGAACTTTTTCTTTATGTTCATGACTTGGTTATGTGGTGTAAGAGTTCTGGTTTTCTGCCTGTATCAGCTTTCAATATGTCTTCCTTGCTAAGCTTAATCATTTGTAGCCTTTGATTTGAAATGAGAGATGTGCAACTCTTTATTTCAAATGAACACTTAGAGGCTATTGTAGGATTATTAATTGATCTACTTTCAATATTGCTGTGTCTCAGTGATGAAGGAGGCCTGAGGAGAGGGAGAGAGTACAGGAGAACAGCTGGTAGGTGGAGCCTTCAGAACACACTCATTTATTGATTAAATTTACCATCTTCTATGGGTCCAGTTTGTGGTGCCCCAAAACAATTACAATAGTAACGTCAAAGATCACTGATCACAGATCATTCTAACAGATACAGTAATAAATGAAAGAGTTTGGAGTACTGTGAGAATTACCAAAATGTGGTGGAGAGATACCAGTTGAGCATGTGGTATTGTAAAAACAGCTTCAGTAGACTTGCTTGACACAGGGTTCCCGCAAACCTTCAATTTGTAAAAAAAAAAAAAAAAAAAAAAAAAAGCAACATCTGTAAAGCACAGTAAAGTGAAGTGCAGTAAATTAGGTATGCTCGTATGTAAGAATCATGTTAATTTACATGAAGATTTTAAAGTTAGCTTGTCATTGTCTTTAAAAAGGCCTGGTAGGATTTTGATTGTGATTATTAAATATATAGATCAGTTTGGGGAGACTTGCCATTCTTAAGAATATTATAACTCCCAATCCAAGAACATGGTATTTACTATTATTTATTTAGGTCTTTGATTTATTTTATCTGCATGCTATAGTTCTTAGTATACAAATCTTGCGTGTATTTTGTTAGACTTACATAGAATTATTTCATATTTTCATGTGATTGCAAATACTTTCAGTTTCAAATTGTTCATTTCTATAGAAACATGATTGTATATGTAGACCTTGAATTCTGCAACCTTGGTAAAGTTCTAGTAGCTTTTTAAAGAGATTCTTTGGGATTTTTTATGTAGATAATGTTATCTGTAAATAGATTATGTTATCTGTGATGGTTTTATTTCTACCTTGACAATCTGGATGCTTTAGATTTATTTTTCTGTACTTACTGCACTGGGTAAGATTTCTTATACAATGTTGAGTAGGAGTGATAAAACCAGACAATTTTGCCTCATTCTTGACCTTATGGGGAAGGTGTTTATTCTTATATCTGTAGATTTTTTTATAGATGCACTTTATAAGGCAGAAGAAATTCTAATTATGGTTTGTTGAGTGTTTTTATCTTGAAAAGGGTGTTGCATTTTTATTCCTAAAAATGCCATACTGCATCTTTCTAATGTAATAATCATAGTGGTTCCCCCCTTTTTTCTATGAATATGGTAAATTACATTAATAGATATTCTGTAGTACACCAGCCTTTCATTCCTGCAATAAAGTGCAACTGGTATTGTATTGCTGGATTTTATTTGGTAATTATTTATTTATTTATTTTTTTGAGACGGGGTTTCGCTCTTGTTACCCAGGCTGGAGTGCAATGATGCAATCTTGGCTCACCACAACCTCTGCCTCCCGGTTTCAAGTGATTCTCCTGTCTCAGCCTCCCGAGTGGCTGGGATTACAGGCACGCACCACCACCCCTGGCTAATTTTTGTATTTTTAGTAGAAACAGGGTTTTTCCATGTTGATCAGGCTGGTCTTGAACTCCCGACCTCAGGTGATCCACCCACCTTGGCCTTCCAAAGTGCTGAGATTACAGGCGTGAGCCACTGTGCCCAGCTATTTGCTAATATTTTCTTAATGAGTTTTGGGCATATATTTATGAGACATATAGATATACAAGCATATGTTTTATTTTCTTGCAATATATTTATTTAGTTTTTGGATATGTGCTACTGACATTGTAAAATAGGTTGGAAAATGACTCTTCTACCTTATGAAAGAGTTTGTGTATGATAGGTATAATTTTTTTGTTTGAATAATTGATAGAGATTACAGATGAAGGCATTTTTAAGGATTTTCTTTGCAAGAAGTTACAAATTCAATTTCTTTTTAGATCGTGGGCTATTCAAATTATCTTTATGTGTAGATTGGTTTTGGCACTCTACATTTTAAGGCATTTGTCTGTGTCATCAGAATATTTCCTATTTCCTTCATTATATTATTTGTTTGTTCCTTGTTACTTTTTTGAACACTTTGACTAGAGTTATTGATTCTATTATCTTTAAAAATAACAAAGTTTTTGTTTTATTGATTTCCCACCTGCTTACTCATCTTATTTTATCGAATTCTTGTTGCATTTTTATTTCCTTATTCCTTATTCCTTTATTTCCTTTTATTGAATTTAACTAGCTCCTTTTTAAAAACTTTCTTTAGTTGAAACATTGATTTCTTTATCTGTCCCTCTGTCTAAAACACAGTTTTTTCTTTATTGTACCTTTACAATAAGTCTTATTATGTGGAATGCATTTCCATATACATTCTAGAATGAGATCTCATTTCTGGTATATTTTTGATGAGGTTTTAAACTATCAATTTAGAGAGGCTTTTAGGCCATGTTATTTTCTTTTACATAGGTATTTTTGTTTTTGTTTTTGTTTTTGAGACTATTTCACTCTGTCGCCGAGGCTGGAGTGCAGTGGCACATTCTTGGCTCACTGCAACTCCGCCTCCCAGGTTCAAGCAATTCTCCTGCTTCAGCCTCCCAAGTAGCTGAGATTACAGGTGCTTGCCACCATGCCCGGATAATTTTTGTATTTCTAGTAGAGATGGGATGTCACTGTGTTGGCCAGGCTGGTCTGAAACTCCTGACCTCAAGTGATCTACCCGCCTTGGCCTCCTAAAGTGCTGGGGTTACAGGCGTGAGCCATCATGCCCGGCCTACATAGGTTTTTTAAAAACCATTTTATTCTTTCTTGTGTAAAGATATTATGAATCTTTCCTTAGATTTGTTCCAAGATAGTCAATGGTTTTGATATTTAATGTCATTTTATATGATTTTTAAAAAATTTTTACTAATTGTTCTCAATTTATGAAAATATACCTGATGTTTGTATATTATACTTTTATCTAGTGACCTTGGTAAATCCATATATTCTAACAGTTGGACTTTATTGTGAATTTGCCTGTGTGTGTGTGTGCACAGATGATATATATTTCTATGTACAGATTGGTATTTTTTGCTTTTATACAATCAAGTTTTTAGCAAACAATGACAGCTTTATTTCTTCCTTGTAATAATTACTTTTCTTGGCTTATACATAAGACCTTCTATACTGTGTTGAATAGAAGTTATGATAATGAGCATTTTTTTCCTACATCCTGATTTTAGGGTCAAACCTTTTCATATTTTATGGGTGTTTGCTAGTTTTTGTTCATTAGTTTTAAGGTTGGTACCCCTTATCATGTTAAGGAAATGTTTCTTATCATGAATAGGCTTTGAAGTTTATTAGATTATTTTCTGTATCTGTTGGTGTAATCATGTCATTTTTCTTTCTTTCTTTCTTTCTTTTTTTTTTTGAGATGGATTCTTGGTCTGTTGCCCAGGCTGGAGTGTAGTGGTACAATCTTGGCTCACTGCAACCTCCACCTCCTAGGTTCAAGTGATTCTCCTGCCTCAGCCTCCCGAGTAGCTGGGACTACAGGCACGTGCCACCACGCCTGCCTAATTTTTGTGTTTTTTTAGTGGGAACAGGGTTTCACCATATTGGTCAGGCTGGTCTCAAACTCCTGACCTCGTGATCCACCCGCCTCGGCCTCCCAAAGTACTGGGATTACAGGCGTGAGCAACTGCGCTGGCCTAATCAATATCACTTTTCTTCTGTGTAGTACTAATTTGGTGAGTGATGTTTTTTTCTTCACCAAATTTTGCATTCCTAAGTTGACATAGAATAAGGGATGTATTATGATCATTTTTGGGATAAGTTTTGAATCAATTTACTAATATCTTGTTAATCAGAGATTTGAATATTATGTTAATGAGAAAGTATAGAGATTATTGGTGTTTCTTCTTTTAAAAAAAATGACATTTTTCTTTCTTTTTTCTTTTTTAGCACAAGCCCACCGTACTGTTGTGTGGATCTGTATTCACTTCGTACTGGGGAGATGGTCAAGTCCATTCAATTTAAGACCCCTATTTATGATCTCCATTGCAATAAACGGTAAGGATATTTTCATATGTTTCTTGTGTAAAATAAGAAACATGCTCTCCTGGGCATGGAGAACTCTACCAATTTCAGTGACTAACTTAGGTTTATTTTTAAAAATCTCAAGGAAACACTTTCTGAATTCAGTTCAGTGGAATAGCTCTAAGATTTCTTGATGAATATATTGAGACTTCTAGTCTTGATCCATTAGAGAACCGTAAATTCAGTTTAGTGGGGTATAGTGAGCATTTGTAAAACAAAATAGAAACGAATAGAAAGTATCTGAGCAAACTTAAAAATGTTAAGTATTGTTTTGAGAAATCTTTTAATGTAGCTTTTTATATGTATTTTATGTATGCTGATTTATGATGGTGAAATGTAGTTTTGTTGTGAGAACCCACCAAAATTTTTGAAAAGCATGTTCCTGAACTATAAAAAAAGTTTAAAAATATTTTTATTCCTTCACACTTCACAGTGGAGCTAAAGTAGGGACTAGACTAATTTGTATCCTTTAAAATTTATTTCGTTTAATTGCTGGGAAAATATTCAGATCTATCTTGAACTTCTATGTGACCTCTATTGCTAATGACAAATTAATCACAGAACATTAGAGGAGAAAGGAACCTTAGGAATCTTCTATCACCCAGCACTTTCCTTTTCCATTTAAGCAAACTGAAGCCCTGGGATGGTGAATATCTTGATCATTAGCTCTTACGTGCCTTGTATAAATCTTCCATGCCATCAAAAAGCTAAACACATGAAATATAGAAAATAAATTGTTTTCTGCCATTTCAGTAAATTTAAGTGAAGCAAAAGACTCACAGATTAGATTTTAAAGAGATGTTTTGAAAGTTGACTTAGGTTGAATGTAGAAGGGAGGGCAAAGACATATTTAACAAATACAAATAAAAGGCAGGTGGGTTTTCATACTAATAAGAGAAATATTTGAATTCAAGTATAGAAAGATGAAAATTATAGGATGTAGGAAAAATACCCAATATATTATTGCTAGAAGGATATGATTGTCCCATGACATATCAGGTTGGTCAGAAGGGTATAGAAGTGTTAAACAACATTATTGAATGGGTAGATCCTGCAGACATATTTAACCCTGAACTGTCCTTTGTGCTGTCACGAACTTGATTACATATTATTTGGTCAAAAAATAATGTGAACACATACAAACAGTACAGAGAAGATTCTTAGACCACAGCTTCCCTGTATTTCAATTACATAAATATACTAGAAATCAAAAAACAACAACACAAAACTCTTTCTCTTATTTGCTGTCCTCCTTAATTTAAAATGTTTGCTCCATTTTAAAGAGGAAATCAAAACTGTAATTGTATATCATCTGAGAATTAATAGCAAGATATAGTTGCTCAGTTGCTTAGGTACTTTATTTAAAAGTTTCAGGTCCCCCACAGATAAATGTAGTCACCTATATCTGAATTGTTCCTCATTCTCCAAAAAGCATATGTATCAATAAATGGAATCAAATAGAGGTGAGGCTGCATATACATATAAAATCACCTGTAGCCCATGCTTAATTCATATAACTACACAAGAGTGAATACTACAACTAGAAATTTTAAATTTGAGGATGGTAGAGCTTATTCAGGAGTCCTTGCAAGAGGTGATATGACAGAGTGTATGATGTGGCAGAAAGGAGACTATGTTGGGAATTTATTGATGCAGAAGGGACATAAGTAAACTATGGTTCACTCCCAGAAGCATAGGCTGTGTTGGAGACCTGGTAGTTTAAAGCACTAAGGGATCAAAAGGGTCTGGGGAAGCATGCAGGAACAGATGTATCCTTGAAAATTCCTTCTGGCAGTATGGCAGGCAATTTTAAGGGTAGTAAGTCTTCAAATAAATAAATGTAATAGGGAGAAGATATGATGTAAGCCTTACTGAAACAAGGTAGCAGCACTGACTCAGAACATTTACCGCTCCCCCGTTATAACCCCCCAATAAAACAGTAATTTGTAAGGTCTGATGCTAATGAAAAGATAGATAAGTGTACCAGTGTAACAGAATAGAATCTCAGATTAGACACACACAACCCTCTTTGGACATGTGACTTACAAAGTTTCCGCTGCAGGTAAGTTTTTTCAATAATTATTGCTCCAGCACTCAGATATTGATACAGAAAAAGCTCAAGTCTTGACTCCTAAACAAAAAACAATGCCATGTGAATTCTAACTCTAACCATGAAAGATAATACCATTTATTTGTAGGAACATTTTCAATTACAAATTCAATTTATTTTATATTTACAAGTCTGTTAAGATTTTAAAGTTCTGTCTAGCACAAGTTTTGATAATTTGTCTTGATAATTTATCAGTAGTTTTGACAATGGTCTTTCCAGTCATTTGTCCATTAAGTTTTCTAATTTATTGGAATTAAGTTGTTTGTAACATTGTAACAAATTAAGTTGTTTGTAAATTCCTACATTGTTAATTTAATGGCTGTAGGATATCTAGTGATGTCGGTAATTTGTGAATTCTATTTTCTTTTCTTTTTTGGGGGTTGGGAGGACCGGATCTCACTCTGTCACCCAGGCTGAAGTGCAGTGGCACCATCACGGCTAACTGCATCCTTAAACTCCCAAGCTCAAGCAGTCCTCTTGCCTCAGCCTTCCTGTATCTGGAACTGCAGGCATGTGCCACTGTGCCTGGCTAATTTTTTTTAACATTTTTTTTTTGTGGAGACAAGGCCCCACTATGTTGTCCAGGCTGATCTAGAACTCCTGAGTTCAGGTGGTCCTCCTATCTTGGCCTCCCAAAGGGCTGGGATTAGAGGCATGAGCCACTGTGCCCAGTCTCTCTATTTTCTTGATCAGTCTACCTAGATATTTGGTTTTATTTCTAGCTGTAGGTTTATTTATAGGGAAGTAGTGTGAGGTATGTGTTGATTAGCAAGTTCAGCAGTTTATTTTCCAGTTTGCCAATGGTTTTTTTTTTTTTTTCCATAACCGGGCATTGTATTTAGTGAAGTCAATATGAAGATGATTATGTATTTCCTTTTCAATTTGTTAAAAGAATAAATTATATTGGATGATTTCCCAGTGTTAAACTGTTCTTACACCCTGGGTTTCACCCTAGGGGTAATTATCTATAATCCTTTTTATATATTCCTGGATTTAATTTTTGCATCTATGTTCATGAGGGAGATTCATGTATATTTTCTTTTTCTTGTTATGCCTTGTCTGTTGTTTTTTCATTCATTAGACACTTAGGAAGGTATTTCTTTTTTTGGAATTTTCTATGATAATTTGTATAGGATTGTAATTATATTTTTCTTAAATCTTTCGAGTTTCTGTTATTGGATTCATATACATTTATGGTTATTATGACCCTTTATGAACCATTCTTTGTTAATAGTGATATTCTTGTTCTTAATGTTTATCTGATAATAATATATCCATTTCAGCTCTTTTGTTACTATACGTATGGTACGTATTTTTCCATTTTTCAGTTTTAAGTTAGTTGTGTGTTTGAATTCGTTGGTGTAGACATAATATAGTATCATTATCCAGTCTGACAGTTTCTAGTTTTAAATATTCTATGTTTATAAATTATGAGAAGGAATGAGATTATGTGCTTGTGTGTATATATGTGTATATATATGTGTTAATATAATATGTGCATGTGTGTGTACGTGTGTATATACACTTAAATATAGTATGGTATAGCTGTATGTATATACACACGTACACACACACCCATATATATCTGTATGTATATATCTGTATGTATATACATACACACACCCATATATATCTGTATGTATATATCTGTATATATACACATACACACACACCCCATATCTATCTGTATGTATATATCTGTATGTATATACACCCATACACACATACCCCATATATATCTGTATGTATATACACACACCCCATATATATCTATATGTATATACACACATACACACACACCCCATATATATCTGTATGTATATATCTGTATGTATATACAAACATACACACACCCCATATATATCTGTATGTATATGCCTGTATGTATATAAACACATACACACCCACCACATATATGTCTGTATGTATATACCTGTATGTATATACACACACACCCCATATATGTCTGTATGTATATACACACATACACACACACCCCATATATATCTGTATGTATATACACACACACCCATATATATCTGTATGTATATACACACACACACCCCATATATATCTGTATGTATATATCTGTATGTATATACACACAACACACACACACCCCATATATATCTGTATGTGTATATCTGTATGTATATATACACACACCCCATATATATCTGTATGTATATACCTGTATGTATATTAACACATACCCACCACATATATGTATGTATGTATATACCTGTATGTATATACACATACCCCATATATGTCTGTATGTATTTATCTTTATGTATATACACACATACACACACACCCTATATATATCTGTATGTATGTATGTGTATGTATATACACACATACACACCTCATATATATCTATGTATACATCTGTATATACACCTACCCCATATATATCTGTATGTATATATCTTTATGTATACACACATACCCCCCCCCCATAAATACTTTCTCTTTGGTTCCATTGACTCTTCATAGTGGTGCATGTTTTTTTGTGTGTGTTCCATTATTTGATATTTTCTGTCAAACACTGTGTGTAAAGGTATAGTACAGATGTTGGTAATTAATATTTAAACATGGAAATGCCTTTTCTTCTATCAGGGCATTAAAAGGGTATTAAGTTGATATAATATGTAGATGAGGTGATTTGAGGCTTTAGTATAGTAACAGAGCAGAAATGGAATTTACAATTAATTCTAAAATTTCATATTATCTCCTTTATAAGGATATTGTCTCTATCTTTTTGTATATTCAGAGTACACATACGTATGTATAGCAAATTGTCATTTATTAATAGCAAACAACCCAGTAAAATATATATAGAAAAGTTTTTAACAGGCCCAGCTAGAAAAAAAAATCACAAGGATCTAACAGTAGTCACTCGTTAGAATTATTCTGCATCAGTAAATGAAATTGTTGTTTTTAAAGATGAATAAAATTAATAAAGCATGCATATGAAATAATATATTTTCCTTTTTTCTACTCATATTAGCATCTGTTGCTCAGATTTACCAGCCTCCAATTTTGAAAAATAAGCTATTAGTTTGTCAGATATTTAGTAACAATTATAATCTTTATTTGATTTTTTGAGGTAAATATTAAGCTTGGCCATTTACATTAATATCCTGGAAGGAATAGCACAACATAAAGTAGTCGCTTTGGATGTATTTTAGGAATTTTGCTTTAAAAAATTGTTTATAACTAAATTATTTTCTAATTATTTCTAAATCTTGGGTGTTGAGAAAAATATTGCTTTTACAGATTCTTAGTGAATTTTACTATATTGAGTCAATCAGAAATAACTTATTTATGAGTAGCAGTTGTCTTAGATTTGTATGTGTTGGAAAATTCATCTGCCATTTCAACTTAAAGTGATAGGTTACATAAATCCATTTTATCTTTAATACCATGACTAAGACATCACTGGAAAAACACTTTTAGTAGATAGCCAACAATGTATTATCTTCTCCATTCTTTTTTTTCTTCTTTTTCGTTTCCTTTTGAGACAGCATCTCACTATGTTGCCTAGGCTGGTCTCAATCTCCTGGGCGCAAGTGTTTCTCCTGCCTCAGCCTCTTGAGTAGCTGGGATCACAGATGTGCAACACTGTGCTGGGCTTGATCTTATCCATCTTTAATGTAGACTTATTGGATTCAAAAATAAATGAAAACAAAACTTTATTTTATGCATTTTTATTTTTAGAGATGAGATCTTGCTGTTGCCTAGGCTGGAGTGCAGTGGCGCGATCATAACTCCCTGCAGCCTCGACCTCCTGGGCTCAAGTGATCCTCCTGCCTCAGCCTCCTGAGTAGCTAGGACTACAGGCTCACACCACCACACCTGGCTAATTTATTTTTATTATTTCCTATAGAGACAGGGTCTTCCTGTGTTGCCCAGGCTGGTCTCGACCTCCTGGGCCCAAGTGATCCTTCTGCCTTGGCCTCCAGGAATGTTGGGATTGTAGGCATGAGCCACCATGCCTGGCCAAAACAAAACTTTATTAAAAGACAAATATTTTTTGAGGTGGTAGTTTTTCCTTCCATCACTTTTCTTCTAGTCATCTCTATCTTACTTGTATATAGGATTTCGTGGTTTATATTTTTACAAATTTTAAGAGGCAGAAGTTTCTAGCCTAAATATTATAGGAAATGTTTAATTTTAAAATTGTATTAGTAGGCACTTGTTTTCATCTAGATGATATAATGCATTTCTGATTCCACTTACAGAATTTCACATTCACTTTTTTCTTTCTTTTTCTTCCCCCCTCTAATTTTAGGATCCTTGTTGTAGTCTTGCAGGAGAAAATTGCTGCCTTTGATAGCTGTACTTTCACGAAGAAATTCTTTGTTACAAGTATGTACCAATTTTTTTTCCCTTATGCCTTTGGGTTTATACTAATTACTTGACACAATCAGAAAACTAACTGTAATTTTCTCAACAGTATTTAATGTTTTCAGTTTTGATGATTTTCTTGTGATTCTGTGGTTGTTCTCATTGAGTAATATAATTGTATGGTATATATTTTCAACTTTCCAACACATTTTCTTTCTTTCTTTCTTTCTTTTTTTTTTTTTTTTTTTTTGAGACGGAGTCTCGCTCTGTCGCCCAGGCTGGAGTGCAGTGGCCGGATCTCAGCTCACTGCAAGCTCCGCCTCCCGGGTTCACGCCATTCTCCTGCCTCAGCCTCCCGAGTAGCTGGGACTACAGGTGCCCGCCACCTCGCCCGGCTAGCTTTTTGTATTTTTTTAGTAGAGACGGGGTTTCACCGTGTTAGCCAGGATGGTCTCGATCTCCTGACCTCGTGATCCGCCCGTCTCGGCCTCCCAAAGTGCTGGGATTACAGGCTACTAAGCAAGCTTTGTTGTAGGTTACCTCACTTTCTCCCTACATACTCTCCTAGAGTAATTGTGATTTAGTTTCATGTAGCTGTTTCATACTTTCAAAGCAATTGTCAAATTGCTTAACATACCATATTTTTATACATTATACCTTTACATATGAGCAAAATTTGTTTCTACTAACATTAGTATCTGTCATTTAACCAAAAGGTTAAAAAACCATATTTTTCAAATAATTACTTATATTTTAAAAGAGTGTTTAAAAACCTTCCATACTGTTAAATAAAGTTAGGTACTTATAAGGCTGTAAGCACAATTTCCTTTAAAAGTTTTGTTTGTATTTGTAAATTGATAATATTTGCAGCTTTTCTGTGGGAGTATTTGACAGCTTGAGATTTTGTAATAGGAGAATTTGTGGTGAGTCCTCATTTGGGTCAACTTACAGATTTTCTGTATGATGGAAAAAAATGTAAACATGTAAAGCCTTGGAAAATATATTGGCAGAATCAGTATAGAAGTTGGCACATTTTCAAAGAAAGCAATTTAGCAATTTCGTATTACCAATTTTACTATAATTTCTCAATTTAAACCATATATGACAGAGATAAGAGTGGAAAAACCTTTTACTCAGAAGGGAGAATAGAGTATGTATTCTTCTTAGTTTTTATTGCTATTTGAAATGGTTAAATGTATCTTAAATATATAAATGTCTTCAATTTTCAATAATTTGGCCTATTATGTAAACATATAATAATATAGTGCTATGGCAAAAATACTGTATCTTAATTAAATTTTTAGTGCCACAGATATGCCATTTCTTTTCCTGTAAAGGCCACAAGCAATAACTTTATTTTGGGAAATATATACATGTATATAATTAGAGTAGTAGTATGATAAACACCCATGCATTTATTATCTAGTTTCAACAACTATCAAATAATGGATAGTCTTTTTCATTTATACCCCTTCCCCAATTATTTTGAAGCATATTGCAGGCATTATAGAATTTAATTTGTGCATATTTATTATCTACGTCTGAAAGATAAGAACTTGAAAAATTACCAAGTGAGTATATAATTATCCAAACTGCAGTCTTTTGATTTGCACAGTTGCTATACTGGATTTAACTCTGATCAACATATGTAAACTTGTAAAGTCCTGAGTGAACACAGATATATGGTTATCTTGTCCATTTACTACCAATGAAACTCCCAAGGTTTTTGGTACACCAAAACCTACTTTGTGAAAGTTTAACATCCTTGCTAAATCTTTTCTGCAACTCAATTTTCATGCTTCTTATGTCCCATTTAATTTGAATCACTCATTATTCTCATTTTGTTGGAGGTATATTTTTCCTTTGTCTTTGTGACTGGAATGGCCTTTTCACTAATACCTCTTCTCCTTATGATGTTTTAATCCTATATGTCTTTCTGGGCCCAGTGTAGATAGTAATTCTTATATGAAGTCTTTGTTGACCCCTTTAGCTTACAGCAACTTCTCCTTCTAAATCCCCTAAAGATAACTTCCCGCTGTCTGTTGGCAGAGCATTAGATTTTCAACATACTTTGCAAATCAGGATGCCCTGATCAAATATGCTTAGAAAATGCTACCTTCTGTTGAAACTGGCAATGGTGATTAGTATTTTGTCTGTTTAAATTTATTTAATACATTTCTTTATTTCCCATATTTATTTGATAACAGACCTCATTTGTTACCCAACACCCTTTGGGAATGCTTTTGTAGTATGTCATCTCTGCCTCTCTTAAGGCACTTACATTCTATCTTGTATACATTTTCTGTCGGTTTCCCGCTAGACAGTAATCTCACTGAGAGGAGAGTTACTCAGTTTGTTTTGGATTGAGGAAATAAAGTTTTACCATGGAAGGCATAGTGTGTCTATTATGTCCTTGCCAACGTAAAAATATTAATGATTTTTTTGTTCTTTTAATGATAAAACCCAGTTCACTAAAGATGAATACATTTATCAAAATTATGTTCTGGTTTCAAAGCACAAGTTTTTTTTTTTTTCAGGATGTTTAGTTAACGAAAATGTTTGTGATAATAGTATGTCTGAAAATGTAGTGTTTCTCTGCCAATAGTTATCAGATGAGGAATAAAGTTATTTATATAGGATCAGTACAGATCTTTATAGGTATGAGTTGGAAATTAAAAGTAAGTGGTGAATATTTTAAGAAATGAATACACACACACACACACACACTATATATAGAGATAAATGAAATTTCTCTCTTACAAGTCACATTGGGGTAAATCTAGAAATTTTGGAAAGGATGAGTTTGTTAGAAAATGATGTCTTCATAGGCGTCAGCTCTTAAGTATCTGTGTCGTATCTGCGGTACCTCTCCTGTCTATCTCTAAAGGATTTCCTCTTTGAAAATGGGATCTTCTGTTCTGCAAACTTTTAGTAAGCACGAAACATAAGTCAAATTTGATAAAAGCGAACAGGAGACTGACTGAGTTGTTAGCAGTCTTTCTTAATGCCTTTCATGCTTTCCTTTTTCCTTAATGTCTTTTTTGGGACATCTTTGCCATGTATTCCTGAATACTTCCCCCTGAATTGCTGGACCACTGAATAGATAAAACAAGTTTTGTTAAAGCATTAGTCTCTCTTGTATTCTGTGAATTCTTCACTACAGGAAGAAGAAATCTAGAGGGGTCAACAGTGTTTGTGGTACTGTAGAAAGGTACTTTAAAAGTGAAATACAGCTTTTAGTTAAGTCCTGGTCAAGTGGCTGGAGGTCCACAGTGATGAATTTTTAGTAATTCCTGACCCATAAAGATTATCACTTATTCTTTCAGAGTAATGTTTGCATAATGGTTCCCATGGGTTGGGCATTCCTTAAAATCTGTTTAGTGTGGATTTCATAAAATCTGAAATGTATGTTACTTAAATGGTTAAAATGTTGAAAAAAGAGTAGTAAATAAAAGTACATTCTGTCATTTCTGGGAATAAATGTTGGAAATAAGTGTAATTAACTATGTATATAAGCCCAGTAATGTCTTTTTTTTTTTTTTTTTTGAGATGGAGTCTCACTCTTTTGCCCAGGCTGGAGTGCAGTGGCATGTTCTCGGCTCACTGCAGCCTCCACCTCCTGGGCTCAAGCAATTCTCGTGCCTCAGCTTCCCGAGTAGCTGGGACTACAGGCTTGCACCACCATGCCTGGCTAATTTTTGTATTTTTAGTAGAGATGGAGTTTTACCATGTTGTCCAGGCTGGTCTCGAACTCCTGAGCTCAGGTGATCTGCCCTCCTTGGCCTTCCAAAGTGCTAGAATTACAGGCATGAGCCTCCGTGCCTGGCCAGTAATGTCTTAGTGAGGAAAGATGTTTTTAATTTTAATATAGTTGTCAGAAGGTAGGATAGTGCATCTCCTTGGGAAGAGTAGTGACTGAAAGGGAGTATAAGAGGGTGCTTTGGGGAATCTATAACGTCCTTTTTTTTGGTCTGGTTGTTATTTATGCGTTCAATATGTGTTCACTTTGTTGATTTGGGTAATGCTGCATGTATATTATATTTCAATACACACTTAATATGAAAAAGTTCAGAAAGCAACAGTAACATATGTTTGTGATTTCTTTGTACTCTGGATACAATTTGATGTAGCCTTTCACTATAGGTCCCCCTTACCTGTTCATCTACAAATACTCTTACCAATACTAGTAATGTATTTTATTTCATATTTCTCTTAGGAAGTATGTCATTCTTAGTGGGGTCAAATTTATGCATATGACATATGATTTTAGGTTGGTAAGATTGATGATATTCTGCAAATATTTGAATGAAGGAATTTGGCCAATTTTCTTTGAAATTACAGCTTCCTTTAAAGTGGTTTATATCAATATTTAGAGCAAAATTTACCATGACCAGATTTTTAAAATTAAAGAACAAAGGGTGCCACTTCATAAGTTGAAAGAATCTTATTTTCCTCCAGTTTCTGCATCTTCTCCCTATTCCTTTCTACAGACTGAAACTTTTGTCAGGTGAATCCCATGCCTGTAAGCTGGTTTTGCCTGTTAGACTGAAAGGTATAGGTTATAGAGATCGGAGGACAGGATACTGGGATGTAGGGAGCGAGTGGGACAGGGTGCACTGAGATAGCATTTGTAGTAGTTCATTTGCCTGTAGCACATAGTTTTTCTCCATTTATTGGTACCTAGTTCTTAAAGTAGGACTACATAGCCCCTGTCAAATGACAAGATCTCCACTTAATGAAGATGTTGTTTTGATCATGCAAGCAGTTATCTTCTAAAATAGTTTGAAAAGGTTTTGTATAATACCTTTTTAGTGCATTGGTTATATACGAATACAATGAAGGGACTGTAAAATAAGTAGAGACAGCTGTGTCCATCAGAGCACGCATCATGGGAATTTTTGCCGAAGGGTGGAAGGAACAGGTAAAGAGAGCTGATAGAGGACTGTTAATGGAACGCATCCAATATGATGAGAAAGGAGACACCTTTGTATTTGGATATAAAGAAAAAGTCGCCTTGGGCAGCTGTCTGATGTGGAAATCCAAAACCCATGTATGATTAGGAAAACAAAAGACAAAGATCAATAGATGTCATTAGCAGTCATTTTCAGTGTTCTTAAATTGAAAGGTAGATATGAAGTCTCCAGAGAGATCAAAGGAATGTTCAGTAAGCAATCTTGTTCCATTGGCCTCTATTTTTACTTGGAGGAGAAAACTTATCGCTTATAATCTTAGTGTTATTTCTTGGTTTTAATGTGTTCTTCATTTATGTTAATGATTGATAACAAATAGAACAAATGGGAATGGAAATTTTACTTTAAAATGCAAAATTATCTTTAAGTTTTGAAAGAGGAGCTTTGCTTTTATATGAAGAAACAGGTTTGTAATATTTATGATAATTCATCGATAGGTTAGTGTGAGTTCTAAGTTCAGCTTACATTAAAATGTTTGTTTTTCTGGGTTCTCTATAAGATGGACAAGGTCACTATGATGTTTTTAGGGCATGTGCTGGTGCCGGATACATAGTGGACACTCAGTGAATATGTATGCAATGAACTAACTTGTGACTTTTTCATTCTCTGCACACAGTTCTCATCCATTGAGTCTTAGAATGGCAGTACTCTGAAATTCATGGTATGCTTCATATACATGAAAAGTAAACCGAAAATAAAACAGGAGTTTTAAACTCAAAACTCATAAAAACTTATGAGAGTTGTTAATCAGCTGTATGATGGTTAAACAAATCTGTGAAATGGTATTTAATGTTTTATATGCTTATGTGTTTTTCTGGGGAGGATGTTCACATTTTTTTTTGTTGTTGTTTTTTGCTTTCTTTTGAGATGGAGTCTCGCTCTGTCGCCAGGCTGGAGTGCTGTGGCGCAATCTCAGCTCACTGCAACCTCTGCCTCCTGAGTTCAGATGATTCTCCTGCCTCAGCCTCTCAAGTAGCTGGGATTACAGGCGCCCACCACCACACCCACCTAATTTTTGTATTTTTAGTAGCGATGGGGTTTCATCATATTGGCCAGGATGGTCTTGATCTCTTGACCTTGTGATCCACCTGCCTCGGCCTCTGAAAGTGCTGGGATTACAGGCGTGAGCCACTGCGCCCAGCCATATGCCACATTTTATCTGATCATTAGTTAACAGATATTTGATTTGTTTCTACTTTTGGGCTGTTGTCGATAATGCTTGTATGAACACCAGTGCACAAGTTTTTCAGTGGACATATGTTCTTTTGGGTATGAACATTTAGCTACAAGTTTTTGTAATTTTGAAATTTGAATTTCCCTGATGGCTAATGACACTGACCATTTTTAGTGTGCTTATTTGCCATTTGTATATCTTTGTCCATTTTAAAATTATTTGTCTTTTCAATACTGAGTGGTTTTTATATTATAGATATAAGTCACTTATCAGATATATTTTTTGCAAAAAATATTCCCTCATTCTCTAGATTGTCTTTTCACTTCTTTTTTCTTTATTTTGTTTTTTGTTTTTGTTTGTTTGTTTTTGAAACAGAGTCTCGCTGTCTCCCAGGCTGGAGTGCAGTGGCACAATCTTGGCTCACTGCAAGCTTTGCCTCCTGGGTTCATGCCTTTCTCCTGCCTCAGCCTCCCAGGTAGCTGGGACTACAGGCGCCCGCCACCACACCCAGCTAATTTTTTGTATTTTTAGTAGAGATGGGATTTCACCGTGTTAGCCAGGATGGTCTCGATCTCCTGACCTCATGATCCGCCTGCCTCGGCCTCCCAAGGTGCTGGGATTACAGAGCCACCGCACCTGGCCTGGTGTTTTCACTTTCCTGATGGTGTCCTTTAAAGCATGTTAAATTTGCATTTGTTTTGATGAAGTCCAATTTATGTATTTTTCTTTTGTCCTATGTAAGAAACCATTGCCTAATCCAAGGTCATGAAAATTTGCAATATTTTGTTCTAAGAATTTGATTGTTTAACTTTTATATTTAAGCCTTTGATCCATTTTTGTATGTGGTGTGAGCTAGGGGTCCACCTTCATTCCAGTCTAAATGCTTTTGCATTTGGATATCCAGTTGTCCCAGCACCATTTGTTGAAAAGACTTCTTTTACCATTGACTTGTCTTGGTATTCTTGTTGAAAATCAGCTGACTTATAAATGTAAATACCTGTTTTCTTAAAAAAAAAGAGCTCAGACTTTTTATTTGTCCTTGCCACGAAAAATAAGGCAAAGTATCACAGTTAAGTTTTTTGTTTTTTGAAATGGGTTCGGGTCACCTCTCCATTAGGACCACTTTCTGGGAGGATGCCATCTAAAATTGCATCATGCTTGTGTACCCTTCTTAATTACTTTTTTAGTAATGGAAAAATATAGTGTGCTTCTAAAAATTTTTTACCTTCATTTAAATTGGGAAATGAGTTCTTTTAACATCCAGTTCTCTTTCTTTGTCCAAAAACATTGTAAATATGTTAGAGTTAGGCCTAGTATTACAGACTTTCATGTTCCCCCAACCCCTTCACTTGTTTTCAGAGTTTACCTAGAGGCAAAGGTTAATCTTTAAAGGAGTCATGCTTATAAGGTTGGGATGGTGCTAAGTGGCTTATGTTCTCTGATTCCAGCTATAAAGCATTCTTTTGGCAAGCAGGAAAATGGTTGTTTTCATTACAATATACTGTAATTCTTGAGGCCCACTGAACTCTAAAAATATGGACTCAAAAGATGAAATGAAGAATTGTAAACTGTTTTTCCTTAGGATCCTTTTGTATTTGTAAGGTTAAAGTGGTTATCAGAATTGACCGAGAGTTAGATTATTTAGTTTTAAAGCTAATTCAGGAGATTAGCTATGTCTAATGTGACACCACAGTTCACAGGTACTTGGTTCTGTTTTTCATGACAAATTTTAAAAGGGGGAAAACTTTCTTATAGATCATATTTATCCTCATTTCTTCAGCTCTGAAATTGTCAATGGAATACATGTATATATACTCATATAAAATTATATTTTAATGAATAAGATTAATTTATTCACTAAGAATCTAATCTATTGTGTAAATACTACATAATTTATATTAGAGTATGTTGTCTTTGTACAATTTTAGTGCGTTTTTGTCCTATATATGTTTCCATAATATGCATTTAATAGATAATAGTAATATTATAGTTAACCTGAGGTCAGTTTTCCAGAAACCCAAAGTATTGTGAATATATTCCTTCAAACAGTAGCATAAATGAACAGTTTTTTAAAAAGTGAGCAATAAAATGAGAAAGCTTTTATTTTATTTATGTGGACTTTGTTTTAGGGTCTGTCTCTTCTCTATAAGTTTATTATTTTCTTTTCAAGACAAAAATTCAAGATAGGTGGCAGTTTAGGGAGCTGGGCTAAAAATGGCTGTGTACTGGAAGTGACAGTAAGGTGTGCTCCTTTAGTGCTTTTGAGCATAGCAATAGGAACATAGTCAGAATGAGCAAGGAGTGGTGGCAGGGGAGAGCCAGTGGTGAGGAAAACAGATTCTTCAATTTACATATCCCTCTAATCAAGTTGGAGGAAGATAGAAAATAAACAGTATATATATGTCATAGAACAATTAACTGTTGTTATTGGCTAGAACTGCAAACAAGAAGAATGATATTGAGTGAAATGTAAATACAAAGGATTATGCAGTTCCCCAACATCTTTCTGTGGAGGCAGCCTTTCAGAGTTACTTGTCCTCATTGGCCTCAATGAGGTCAAATACTCGTTCTTTTCCTCTCCCCATTGTAGTATCATGTCTGATAGTCTCATTTTCTTTTGCCTTTAAATTCCTGAACCCATCATACAATTTCTCTCTCCTCTCCCAAAATTCTTCCTTGATTTATGAGTGTTAGACTTAAAATGACCCCTCTTAACTTCATTCTCTTGTTTAGGAATAACTGTATAAAATGCCCAGTGTTTGCTGAAAGTGATGACCAGTTCTTTCCAGATTTGTTTATTGGGAAAGAATTAAGCCAAAAGGAAACTAAATAGAGGGCGAAAAATGCTTAGCTAACAAAATAATTAATTACTAGTGTTACGGGAATTTTATGTGAGACTTGAAAAAATATAAGCATTTGATTTTTCCGGTTTTCTGGCATCGACATGATGCACCAACAGAAAAGTTATTAAGAAATTTCTCAATAGTGCCATTTGAAATTTTTCAGGCTGCTATCCATGTCCAGGGCCAAACATGAATCCTATTGCTCTTGGGAGCCGCTGGCTTGCTTATGCAGAAAACAAGGTAAGACGTGGCCTGTGTTTGGATTATTTGTAATGGAGCAAGTGTTGAAGGATTTTCCGTAATAAATATCTATGCTCCATAGGTGATTACCAGTAATAAATGTTTAACTTACTAGTTCATTTGCTTTGGTTTGGTTTTAATTGTGCAACTAATAATTGAACTCTTAAGGATTTATAACTGTTTGGCAGTTGTCATTAAGTCCAGACTCTGTAGAACCTTAATTGTTTAAGCTTGGTTTTATATAAAAAACTTCATCCTATTAAAGTATAGCATTGAGATGACCACAGTAGTGGTATTAAGGAAAGTAGTTTCTGACTTTTTAGAAATCAGGAGGTAGGAGTAACTTCTGTCTTCATTGGTAGATTAGAAACCTGGGCATAGAATAATTTAATTGACAGGGCTGGGTGTGATGGCTCACACCTGTAATCCCAGCACTTTGGGAGGCTGAGGCAGGTGGATCATTTAAGGTCAGGAGTTCGAGACCAGCCTGACTAACATGGTGAAACCCCGTCTCTACTAAAAATACAAAAATTAGTCAGGCCTGGTGGCACGCGCCTGTAATCCCAGCTACTCAGGAGGCTGAGGCAGGAGAATCACTTGAGCCTGGGAGGCAGAGGTTGTAGTGAGCTGAGATCGCACCACTGCACTTCAGTCTGGGCAACAGAGTGAGACCCTGTCTCAAAAAAAGAAAAAAAAAGAAGAATAATTTAATTGACATTAACTATATGCTAACAATTATATCTAAACAAGGGTTCAGCCATTTGTTTTAATAATTAAATCACACATGTTCACATTTTGTTGACTTTTTCAGTTATTTATCAATTTATTTATTAAGGTCATCATAGTAAGTGAAGATACTGTATGCACTAGGAATTTTATTTATGTCTTAAGGGAAAAGGTAAATTTCAATCTTCAAAAAGAAAGGTAAAATTCTTTTAATTCCATTTAGTACCCTGCGTGTGAATATAGAAAGAAATCTTCTAAAAGAAGATTGCTATTTTTGGTTTTGTTTTTGCTGGTTGCATAGTTATTGTATCTTGAGATTAATATGAATTAATATGAAATAGTTCTTGACAAAATTAGGATGTGGTAACTAAAGTAGCTATTTGGTAAAGCTAAATCTACTAAATCTCTAGCCTCTGGAATGTACAAAAATCAAGAAACTACTGAAGAAAATTATTTTTTTGGATAAATTCTTTGAGATCTTATCCTTAAGTCTGTCTGTAACTACTAGATATGTTACATCTTACTGAATTCTGTATTTATATTCCCTTTTGTTCTTTCTCTTGATTTTCCAGTATATCTTATAAAAATAACTTTCAAATTAATTCTTTTCAAACAAAACAAGAGGCATACAAGTAAGTGTAGTGACACAATGGTATCTTCTAATGTTTCTATCTGTAAAGCATTTCCCTTGAGTGCTGGAAACATTCAAGATAAAGATGTATAAATTGTCCCTTGGGTCTTGTGGATGTATTCTCATGTGGTGGACTGCCCATTTGGAAGTGGAGGTAATATGTAAATAGTTACATATTGCCTTTGAGGGGAAATAACTCCCTTCATAGATGCATAGCCTGAATATGCACCAGTTTTCCCTCTTCAGGAATATATGCTAATATCTGGTGTTATGTACAGAGACCAGACAGCATAGCGGACTTCACAAGGAGTTTGTGAATCAGATGTTGTGCTTTCATCTCGAAATATTTCTAGACAAATGTCCTTACATAGTATTTTCATAAGAGCTAGCATTTATTAGTTTCTAATTGTTTTAGCTTTGGGGCTGAGTATGGAATTGTAAAATTGAATTAAATTTTGGGGTACCAGTCTCTTTCAGTGAAAATGCTCTTTGACTATAAAATCTTAAGAAGCCGTATATCTTTGTTTTGTTTTAAGATTCACAGGGTACACGTGCATGTTTGTTACACAGGTATATTGTGTGAGGGTGGGGATTGGGCTTCTAATGTATCCATCATCCAGATATTGAACATTGTACCCGATAAGTGACTTTTCAACCCTCTGCTGCCTCCTCCCTCCCCCTTTTGGAGTCCCCACTGTGTATTTTCATTTTCATCATCATGTGTACCCATTGTTTAGCTCCCATTTGTAAGTGAGAACATGCTATTTTTGATTTTCTGTTTCTGAGTTAGTTCACTTAGGGTAATGGCCTTCAGCTCCATGTGTGTTGCCACAAAGGACACGATTTCATTCTTTCTGTGGCTGCATAGTGTTCCATGGTGTGTATAACCATATTTTCTTTATTCAAATAATCAACTGCTGATAGACACTTAGTTTGGTTCCATGACTTCGCTATTGTGACTAGTACTGTGATGAACATACAAGTGCATGTCCTTTTTAAATTAATGATTTCTTTTCCTTTGGATAGATACCCAGTGGTGGGATTGCTGGGTCGAATGGTAGTTCTATTTTTAGTTCTTTGAGAAATCTCTATACTGTTTTCCATAGAGATTGAACTAATTTACATTCCCACCAACAGTGTATAAGCATCCCCTTTTCTCCATATTCATGTCAACATCTGTTGTTTTTGACTGAGTTTTTTTGAGACGGAGTTTCGCTTTTGTTGCCCAGGCTGGAGTGCAATGGCATGCTCTCGGCTCACCGCAACCTCTGCCTCCTGGGTTCAAGTGATTCTCCTGTCTCAGCCTCCCAAGTAGCTGGGAGTACAAACATGCGCCACCATGCCTGGCTAATTTTGTATTTTTAGTAGAGACGGGGTTTCTCCGTGTTGGTCAGGCTGGTCCTGAACTTCCAATCTCAGGGGATCCACCCACCTCGGCTTCCCAGAGTGCTGGGAGTATAGGAGTGAGCCCCAGTGTCTGGCCGTTTTTGACTTTTTAAGAATAGCCATTTTTGGCCGGGTGCGGTGGCTCAAGCCTGTAATCCCAGCACTTTGGGAGGCCGAGACAGGTGGATCACGAGGTTAGAAGATCGAGACCATCCTGGCGAACACGGTGAAACCCCGTCTCTACTAAAAAATACAAAAAACTAGCCGGGCGAGGTGGCGGGCGTCTGTAGTCCCAGCTAGTCGGGAGGCTGAGGCAGGAGAATGGCGTCAACCCGGGAGGCGGAGCTTGCAGTGAGCTGAGATCCGGCCACTGCACTCCAGCCCGGGCTACAGCCCGGGCTACAGAGCCAAGACTCCGTCTAAAAAAAAAAAAAAAAAGCCATTTTTGGCCCGGCATGGTGGCTCATGCTTATAATCCCAGCACTTTGGGAGGCCAAGGTGGCGGATCACGTGAGGCCAGGGGTTTGAGACCAACCTGGCCAACATAGTGAAACCCTGTCTCTACTAAAAATACAAAAAATTAGCCGGACGTGATGGCGTGCACCTGTAGTCCCAGCTGCTCGGGAGGGTGAGGCAGGAGAATCACTTGAACCTGGGAGGTGGAGGTTGCGGTGAGCCAAAATTGTGCCGTCGCACTCCAGTCTGGCCAACAAGAATGAAACTGTCTCAAAAATAAAAATAAAAATAAAAAAAGAATAGCCGTTTTCACTGGTGTAAGATGATATCTTGGTGTGGTTTTAAGTTGCTTTTCCCTGAATATTAGTGATGTTGAACATTTTTTTTCATTTGTTTGTTGGCCATTTACATTCCTTTTGAGAAATGTCTGTTTCTGTGTTTCTGTTCTTTGGGGTTTTTAATGGAGTTTGTTTTTTTCTGGTTCAATTGTTTGAGTTTCTTGTAGATTCTTAGTCGAATGCATAATTTACAAATATTTTCTCAGGTTGTGTAGTTTATCTGTTTACTCTGTCGATTATTTCTCTTGCTGTGCAGGAACTTTTTAGTTTAATTAAGTCTCATTTGTCTATTTTTGTTGCCTTTGTTTTTGATGTCTTTGTCATAAATTCCTTGCCTAGGACAATGTCTAGAAGAATTTTTCCCTAGGTTTTCTTCTAGGATTTCTATAGTTTCAGGTCTTACATGTAGGTCTTTAAGCCATCTTGAGTTAATTTTTGTACATGGTAAGAGATAGGGGTCTGGTTTCATTCTTCTGCATATGGCTCGCCAATTTTCCCAGCGCCATTTATTGAATAGGGTGTCCATTCTCCATTGTGTATTTTTGTCAACTTTGTTAACAAAAAAAATCAGTTGGTTGTAAGTATCTGATGTTATTTAGTTCTCTGTTCAGTTCTGTTGACCTATGTATCTTTTTTTTTTTCCCGACAGAGTCTAGCTCTGTTGCCCAGGCTGGCGTAATCTCTGCTCGTTTGCAACCCCCACCTGCTGGGTTCAAGTGATTCTCTCACCTCAGACTCCTGAGTAGCTGGTACTATAGGCATATGCTACCACACCTGGCTAATTTTTGTATTTTTAGTAGAAATGGAGTTTTATCATGTTGGCCAGGCTGGTCTCGAACTCCTGACCCAAGTGATCCACTCACCTTGGCCTCCCAAAGTGCTGGGATTATAGGCATGAGCCACCATGCCCAGCCTATGTGTCTATTTTTGTACCAGTACCATGCTGTTTTAGTTACTGCAGACTTGTAGTATAGTTTGAAATTAGGCAGTGTGATGCTTCCTGAGTTTTTATTTTTGCTTAGGACTGCTTTGGCTATTGTTTTTTTTTTTTGCTTCCTTATGAACTTTAGGATTGTTTTTTTCCAATTCTGTGGAAAAAACATTAATAATTTGATAAGAATTGTGCTGAATCTGTAGATTTCTCTGGGCAGTATGGTCATTTAAATCATATTGATTCTTTCAATTCATGAACTTGGGATGTTTTTCCATTTATTGGTGTTTGCAATTTTTTTCATCAGTGTTTTGTAGTTTTTCTTGTAGAGCTCTTTCACCTCCTTAGTTAAATTTCTTTTTCTTTTCTTTTTTTTTTTTATTATTATAGTTTACAGTCCAGGGTACATGTAATAACATGCAGGTTGTTACATATGTATACTTGTGCCATGTTGGGTTGCTGCACCCATCAACTCGTCCAGCACCCGTCAACTCGTCATTTACGTCAGATATATATCCCAGTGCAATCCTCT